ATAATCGAGCTGACATATTGGTTGCCTTTTCTTTATCTTGCAACTGTGCATTTTCTTTATCTTGCAACTATTCTCCACGATCTTCGATTGCAAGTTCACAAGATTCTGCAAAATATTACAAGAGCTAACACAATTAGTACTCGTTACTAATCTTTGATTAAAAAAACATGTATAAAATTAAAAAAAACTCCGTCTAACCTTTTGCAACTGTCAAGATCATGCCAGTTAAATCATTATCTTCACTAGCATTTTCTTGGCTTCCAATATTGTCAGTAAGAAAGCGAGGTGTAGAGAGATCATATGTTCCTTCTATACATTTGCAAATAATCTCACTTATGCTTGTTCCTTGGGTATTTTCTAAGTATTGAGATTGTCCTCCACTTCTCTCGTGATAGTCCACTCCATCTTCTTCCCTTGCAGCTTCAAAGATTCTGTAACATTTATAATTAATACCCTTTACTAATAGTTTACTAAAACTAACATTCAACATATCATGAAAATTCCATCTAACCTTGATTGGCATCATTTTGATTTCCAGATTTCTCTTTAAGTGAGAGAGGTGTAGAGATATCATATATTCCTTCAACACATTTGCATACAATTTCACTTACACTTGTTCCCAATGGATTTTCTAAATCTTGAGATTGCACTCCACATTTACAAATTATTTCTGTTACTCCTGTCTCTTTTGGATTTTCCTGGTCTTGACATTCTACTACATCTTGAACTTCCACTCCATCAATAGATTCTACATATATTTGTAATCACAAAAAAATTTATATATATTACGCTAGAATATAAATTTCAATGACAACAAATTCAAAATCTATATCTAACCTTTCCCAATTTCAGTGCCAATATCAGTTTCATCTTCTAGATGCGCATCTCTATAATTGCTTTCATAATGATCTTCTGCATGCACATCTGTATCATCACATTGATCATCACCTGCATCTTTGTTAATTGGAACAGTAGGTTCTGTACCATCACAATAATCATCAACTGCATCTTTACTACTTGGAACACTAGATTCTCTCTCTATGTTCCTTTCATCAGGTTTGACAAGAATCTTCAACAAAGTATCAATCTTTGATCCTAGGTTTTTCTTTAAATCCTCTGAAAGAAATTAAGTTAAGGACAGGCAGTCCTAAACTTCAAGTTACAAGTTAAAAAGTTAAGGATAGGCAGTCCTTAACTTTGAGTTCCAAGTTCAAAAGTTAAGGACAGACAGTCCTTAACTTAGAGTTTCAAGTTCAAAAGTTAAGGAAACTTGGTCCTGAACTTTGAGTAGCAAGTTCAAAAGTTAAGGACACTTGGTCCTTAACTTAGAGTTACAAGTTCAAAAGTTAAGGACACTTGGTCCTGAAGTTTGAGTTCCAAGTTCAAAAGTTAAGGACACTTGGTCCTGAACTTTGAGTTCCAAGTTCAAAAGTTAAGGACACTTGGTCTTGAACTTTGAGTTGCAAGTTCAAAAGTTAAGGACACTTGGTCCTTGACTTTGAGTTCCAAGTTCAAAAGTTAAGGACACTTGGTCCTTAACTTTGAGTTCCAAGTTCAAAAGTTAAGGACACTTGTTCCTGAACTTAGACTAACAAGCTCAAAATTTAAGGACATGGTGTCCTTAACTTAAAGTTACAAGCACTGAAATAAATGATATTACCTTGATGTCATTTTGAATCTTTTTTTCCTGATATAGCTATTTTTTGATTTATTCTAGTAACTTCTGCCTGCATATCCTTTTTAAACTTCTCCGATAATCCCTGAATCAAAAACCATAAAAATAAAAAAGTCTCTTAAGCAAAAATAATCAAATAAAAAACTAATGCTATTCAAAGACAGAAAACCTACTTTAACAATTTCCTTAAGCAAGGCTTCATCGAATTATGTGGAGGAAGGCATTGAACTTTGATCTTGAGAGAATGGCTCATGCACACTAACAGGCTCTGCATCTTCTTCAATAGAAACAAATGGTGCCACCTCGATCAACTTATACACCTATTATATAAGAAAAAAAACTTAAGTTTTCAGAACTAAAACACATAAACAAAAACAATAGCTAGTAATCAGATTAACTTACATTTTCGTTATGGAAGTATTTTTTACACAGAGAATCATATTGTAGAGATTTCATATCTGAATAACTTAACATCCGAGGAAACCCACATTCTCTGAAGTTCACAAATTATTTTTCCTGGAAAATTGGGAATACTTCCATAATCCAAACACAAAAAGCAAAAGGGAAGCCAAGTATAGTATAATTGTCCTTGTCTTTCTCTTTCTCTTTCTCTTTCTCTTTCTCATTCTCATTGGGCTTCAAACAACTCTTCAATGATTTTACTAACGTTTCATAAGAAAGAGAGCCCCGATTGAAAGAAGAGCAGAGTTCATCGTCATCTACAATTTTCATTAGCTGCTCGGACACATTCCGATTCTTCCGCTTCCCCATCAAAACAGATTCAACAAAATAAATTGTTGCCAACTTCACCGCATCATCATCGCTACCTATAAATGATGCAGCCGTGCCATCTGGGTGACTAGTAATAAAATTAAAAAAATCGCCTAACTCAATTCTATCTTTTCCAAGGAAGTAGACTTTCGAAAGCCTATTCTCTTTTTCATGCAAAACTGTGAAGTCCACTGAAGAACATTTTAAACCATTAATTATATGAAACGCTTCACGTGTAAACTTTACTTCATGGTAAAAAACCTTGAATGTCATTGAATTAGGGTAATTGCTTACAATTTCTGAAAGCAACACACAATGAATAAGTTTACCACAGAACTTCACACTTTGTAATCGGAAAAGTTTCCGAAAATACCATCCCTCAGCTTCTTCCATTGCGTGTTCGACAAGAAACTTTTTATTGTTTCCTTATACTGTAAATCTCCTTTCCAATAGCTCATTGAATTACACCAAACATCAAACTCGAAAACACGTTCTCCTTCCATTAGCACACTACAAAGAAGGAAAAAGAACATAAAAAATTAGGACTAAAATCCAGGACCTAAGTAAATGCATCTTAAAGTTAAGGACAAAAGGTCCTTAACTTACAGTTACAAGTTCAAAAGTTAAGGATACTTCGTCCTGAACATCAAATTTCAAGTTCAAAAGTTAAGGACACTTGGTCCTGAACTTCAAGATTAAAGTTCAAAAGTTAAGGACACTTGGTCCTGAACTTTGACTTACAAGTTCAAAAGTTAAGGACACTTGGTCCTGAAGTTTGAGTTCCAAATTCAAAAGTTAAGGACACTTGGTCCTGAACTTACAGCTACAAGTTCAAAAGTTAAAGACACTTGGTCCTGAACTTCAAGTTTCAAGTTCAAAAGTTAAGGACACATGGTCTTGAACTTAGACTTACAAGTTCAAAAGTTAAGGACACTTGGTCCTGAACTTAGACTTACAAGTCAAAAGTTAAGGACACTTGGTCCTAAAGTTTGAGTTCCAAGTTCAAAAGTTAAGGACACATGGTCCTAAACATTGACTTCCAAAGTAAAAAGTTAAGGACACTTGGTCCTTAACTTTTATAGAAGACAATTAACTAAAATTCATAAACACAGTTAGCTTATGAATTCGTACGACTATTTTTATGAAATATCCTTACATAATCAAATATATTGATTGAACAACATACACATTTCAATACAAAAAAGTTCTAAATAACTTCCTCACAAAATTCCGCTCCTTATTCCACACTGAATCAAGTTATAATCATTATTTTTGAAATTTCACACATACTTGATGCCAAACACAGCATTGATCGCGATTATAGTTATACAAAAAGAAAAATGCATAAAAGCAAAACATACCAGTTCGCTGGTTCGATGCAGAGAAGATGACAAAGGAGAAGAGATTAAGTGCAACAAACTACTCGCAGAGAATCGCTGGGCAGGAACAAAATCGAACAATGATTTGCATGCAAGGAACGATACTAATACTGATGGAGCGAAATTTGCCTCTGAAATTTGGCTCTCAAATTTTGCCTCTAACGTATAAAATAAGGGTTTGGGAATATAAGAATAGAAGAAATGGTAAAACTGTCTTTTCAAAATAATTTTAATAGAGTAGTGACTATTTTTGCTCAGCATTAGAATTGGTGGATAAAAAATAAACACCACCTTATTTAGTGGCTACCTCACGCTATTTTTACTAAATTGGAATTCGCTATTATTAGCGTGTGATATCATGAAACGATGATAAACGATACAATCTATCCAAACGTTATGTTTATCACACAATATAATACAATATAATATAATACATTATGAAACGACATATAACAACAATCCAAACAAGTTTATAACCATGGGTAAATAAAATGTAGAGGGAGGAAAATGGAACAAACAAAGCAATAAAACTATTAAGCTACGTCGTTTCATAGACCTTACTTACATTCCCACTCTAAGCCCTTGTCCAGTTGAAGCCTACATCCCCAGCTAATTTCATTTTCTTTCTCTCTTCGATCTCAGAACAAACAAAGCCATGGCTACTTCGTTGACAATGGCGGCTCGTCGAGCAGCAGCCTTCACTCGCTTCCCCTCCTCAGCCACTTCTCTCGTTCAGCGCCGTGGCCTTGCTGGTGCAGCTGGTAATAATGTTCTCTTATTCTCTCTTCCTCAATTTTTTTGATCGATTTAATCAGAACGTAATATTTCTGGACAGATGGATTTCCGTTAATTGTTGATCCATGAATATACAATTATTTTATTTATTCTTATAGCTCTATATTTTTTTGATTTATTGATGGTATTGAAATGTGAATAACTCTAACAGATCATCACGGGCCTCCTAAGGTCAATTGCTGGTCAGAGCCGATGAATCCTGCCCAATGGAAGGAAGAACATGTTAGTTCTTACTATATCCTCCACCTTATCGATGAAGCTTTGTTTTTAGAGGACATATCTATGATAGTTCAATTTTTTTTTTTTTTGATAAATGTAACAGAATAATTTTCGTTGGTGAAAACTTATATGCAAACTCTGTTTGCACCAAATCAAGCAATTAAACATAAAAGTGAAAATACATATCACTTAATCTTAATGTGTGTGTAAAAGACACATGTCTTGCATTTATTGGTTTGACGTAAACACGGTATAGTGGTGAGGTTTTACCATTTTCTTGCATTGTTTGTTCAAAAGGAGTAATTTTTTTTGGAGATTTAACAAATTAATGCTTGTGCTAGTTTGGCAATTGCGACTCGGAATATCATAGGATTCAAACTTATTGTCCGAAAAAAGGTTATTATATGATGCCATATATTCTCGGAAAAAATGCTATACAAAATTATATATTCAGTTCTTGTAATAATCATACAAAATCAAACAATCTGAAAGACTTTAAATTCTATGTAATGACGGTTCAGAAATTTTTTGTAAGATTATTTGCACAATTTGGTCACTTAGAAGGTTATTTAATAATACTGATTGGTAATCTAATATAAATGATAAGTTGTAATAACAGATTAAATTACACTAATGGTGTAAAGAATGCATTACTCAGCGTATATAACTTAAATTCAATTTGAAGAGTATAACTTATTGTGGGATTCTACAGTAACATGGTGTTACATGAACCAGGATGAAGTACTAAAGACAATGAAACTGGATTTTTAATTGTGGGAAGACTAGGTATGGTAGTATATGTAAATGAGTAATTTTGATTTGGAAGATCTGTAAACTCTGCATTCTAAATGTCTTTGTATCAAAGACTTTGTTAAGGCACTACCAACAGAGTAGGTGTTACTCGATAGCTGTGTTGGTGGGCATAGCAAGTACTTGATGGATAGTCAAGGTGTGTACAAGCTGATTCAGTCACCACTTTTATTAAAAAAAAAGATACTACCGCAAATCAAAGGTTATCTTTTGATGTTTTTTGGAATGTAAATGCAAAAACTTGCAAATAATTTTTCTCTTGGTCTTTGCAGTTTGTGATTGTATCTTTGTCCGGTTGGGGCTTGCTGTTCTATAGTGGGTACAAACTCTTCACTGGAGGCAAGAAGAACAAAGAAGAGGTACTTGTCTGTTCTGCTGAAAGTGCACATAGGTTTTTTTGATGAAGTGAAAGTGCACATAGTGCTACCTTTAGATAAATTGATTCAGGAAACAGAGTCAATCATATCTGCTATAAGCAATGTTTTTCAACAGATTGCTCAATCTAGTTAGAATATCAACGAACCTAGGATGAGACTGAGAAGAGAGTGTCGAGTAAAATTCAATAGCCTGTTTAAAACGTTAAAAGGCTATTTGGAACATCTAACGAAAAAACATTAAATGGCTGTTTGGGAACCAAGTTTGAATCAGGAAACTTTAACTTGGTGTATATGTCTTCTTTGTTAAAAACCATGTACCAGCAGTCTGTGTCTCTATAAGTTCCTAAAGATATGCTTTGTGGTGTTCTTGATTAAAAAACAATGAACGTGAAACTTGAAAACAGGCACTTAATTTATATTTCGCTCCATAACTGCCCTCTCCCTGATGGTCGCTGGTGCAAAGAGAGAACACTATCACAACATCAAGCCCAAATAGTTTTCAGCTAAACTTTTCCTGGCCAAGTGTATAATATGTAATAGGGCATATGAGTGGTCATTGCCATCAACTGTAGTCTATGAGTTTTCATGCAATTTTCTTGGCACACAATTTTCATACATCAAAGAATAGGTTTACCTAACTTTGCTTGAGCTTCGCAAAGCATTGCCGGGGTTTTTTTTTATTTAAGAAGGTAAAGCATTGCCGGGTTCAAGCTTGGATAAATTAGGAGGATCACAATAGCTTGATGGCCTGCTAAAAATGGTTTAAATTTGATGAATTTTGTATATTGAGTGACTTGAATAAAGTCAATTGCATGCAAAAGTTTCATATAGTTGGTCCCAATTAATTTAAAATTGAAGCATAGTTGAATGATTGAAAACATAAGTTCCCGTATCAGTGAGGGGAGATAGAGAGTGTATCACCTTAGATATATGATTAGAATGGCTAGACTGTCACGACCCGGATTTCCCATCCTCGGGAGTCGTGATGGCGCCTACTAATGAGTGCTAGACAAGCCAACCCTTAATTACCTTTGTCATTAACCAATTTGCCTCTTTTAACAATTATCAGTAATGTCATGAAAACAGCGGAATAAAGTAAATAAGCGGAAGTCTTAAATTAAAGAATCTGAACAACAATGCAGAAAATCAACATAAACCTCTACCCAAGAACTGGTGTCACATACTCACGAACTACTAAGAGTGCTAAACACAACCGTCTGAAGGAAAATATAACTGTTTGTCTCGAAATACATGAGATAACAGACTGAAAGAAAAGATAGAAGAGACGCCGGGCCTGCGAACGCCTGCAAGGCTACCTCGGTGTCTCGCTGGACTGAAGGCTAACTCCCGCGCTACTGCAGCTGCTGTCCAACACCTGGATCTGTGCAAAAGAGCACAAAGTGTAGTATCGGCACAACCGACCCCATGTGCTGGTAAGTGCCTAGCCTAACCCCGGCGAAGTAGTGACGAGGCTAGACCGGACTACCACATAAACCTGTGCT